GGGGAGTGAGTTGGAGGGTGGGGTGGGCTGCTTTTAACTATGTAAAGCACTTTGTGCTACATTTTTTGTATGAAAAGTGCTTTATAAATAAAGATTGATTGATTGATATATAAGGATGCATTATCTATGAAAGAGATAAATATTGTTCTTTTAATATATGGTACCCCTACATTTGTCTGAAAGCTTACCTGTATAAAAAAAAAGAAGAAAGAGAAAGAGAGAAGGGAAACGTGCAGGACAGACAGAGAGGTGACGGGCTCAGGTGGTGTACAGAACTACAGAAACAGCACAAGGAGTACTTCCTGTTTGTGTTAGTATTAGGGCTACTAAATAAGATGAGAGCTACATGTTCCCCCACTGGCCAAGCGTCTGGCTCCTGTGAATAAACTCGTTTCTCCTTAAAACAAACGTCGGTTTAGCTCGACACCACTAGCAGAACCAGCTTAGTGAAATCGACCCTGATGTTTGTGCATCACTGTAAAAGTGAAATTCAGCTGAGTGTTGCCAGCATGTGTGTGGGTGTCACATGTTCCATTTTGGGATATTCTGCCATTATTTATCTATAACATCGTAACCGCTCTGTGAGGTTGATGTCATGTGAACGCTGTGCGTCATAAAGCCTTTAAAAACAAGTGGAACCTGAGCTGCACTGAGATCACTAATGTCACGTGACTTTGCCAACATTTGTATCTCTACATAAATCAGTGAGATTAAACGCAGTACACACTTTTAGAAGTTTACTCTTTGGCTGTCGGCCATTTAAAAACTTATCCACCGCCACACTTCCATCAAATCACTTTCCCAGAAACACTTCTGATTTCTTTCCAGATTTTTTTCTTTTTCCTTTTGCATTGTTTTCCCATTTCTGTTGTGTTTTATGTGCTTTTGCAGAGTTTTCTATTTGCAGTTCGTTTGGCCTCTGAGGGCCACCGTGCATTCAGGTCTCACAGGCAGTTCAGCAGAATACTGATATTTTGCACTTAAAAACCAGATTGATAGAGCCCGATCACTGCACTGTGTGCGGCTTATTTAGTGAGTGAAGCTCCTGAACAAACGCCCCGAGGCACATTTGTGATTCAGCTTTCTCTGTTTGCCTGATTACCCTTTGCAAAACCTAACTAAAACCTTCACCACCAGGGGGCGGCGATGTGACAGTAGGTGTTTTATGTTCTCCTTATCCAGCTCAGGGTCACCGTGAGGTCACAGCCGGATGTTGAAATAATTTCATCTTTAAAATCTTGATATTTAACTTTAGCTAACGTCAGTTTTCACAAGACAGAAATTCTACTGATTTCTCTTTCTCATAAAATTTATGCCAAAATTATTAATAGTATAAAGTGGCTAATATTTTTAAAAAGTTTTGCTAGATGTAAATATTTTTGTCCATGTTGCCACTGAGCAGCGTCCTCTTCTCTAACATCAGTCTGTGATAGTCTGATGGAGGATTCCAGCTGCTCAGCTTCATCCTGTTTTTCCTCGTGATGCTCCAGATGTTCCAGATGGTGGGCCGGTTCAGCGGCTTTTCTCCTACGAAGCCGTGCTGCTGGAATAGATGCAGTCACCTGTAAAATCTGCCTCCAGCTAACAACGTCTTGTTGCCATGAAATAATAAAACATGTCAGTTTGAACATTTCATTTGTTTTGTCTTCTATTGTGAATAAAATCAATGCATTCTGTTTTTACTCACATGTCATGCGAACTTACAACTGAGTAAACTGAGATATGTTCATACTTGATAAACGTCAGCCAACACCTTTTCTGTCACTAATCTGTGTTCTTCCATTTTACTCAAACCTCTGCTGCCTTTTATTTACTTTCTAATCGTGATTATGGCGATCAGTAAAACTCGGGAACAGGCCTGGCATCATTCTGATGAAGTGAAATCATTCCCAGCAGAAACAGACGCGTCTTTGTAGGTGTTTGAAACGCCAGCAGGAAAAGTCAGCAGGGTGTAAAATCATTCATTAATTAAACACTTTAAGAGAAAGACGAGGAAGCGTGACCGATTCAGGCGTGGAAATGTGTGTGTGTGTGTGTGTGTGTGTGTGTGTGTGTGTGTGTGTGTGTGTGTGTGTGGAATCTGTGGTTGCTCCTTTGCGTGGAGCTGAATGGAGTTTTTGTTTGGGACAGTTTGCAAATGACACCGTGAGGCCCCGATCGCCGCTGTGGCCGAGAGGGGCCCCGGGCGGAGAGCCAGGATGTAAGACAGCGGGTGAAGAGGGGAGGGGGAGGGGAGTTATCTGAGGACAGCAAAGAGGAAGGGTGAGGGACCAGAAGAACAAGCGAGCGATTCAGGCTTGCAGATTCTTTTGTTTTTAGACCAAAGGTATTTTTCTCCGTCCGGCTTCATCTCAGAGCCCTGAAAAAGGATCTGCTTCTGATACATCTGCTAACCTTCAGAACTAAAGTGCCCCGGTGCAGCAGGGATGCTGCTGATTGTTTGAGCTTTTAGATTTTGGTGCAAATCAAACTAAGACGTAGCATCACTGAGTTCCATCTTCAGTCTCTCTCCTGATTTTTCTGCTCTACGTGACCCGAAGAGAAAAAGGTTGCGAGTAAAACCAGCCGGCTCAGAACTTATGAGATGAAATGTTTCATCTAAATTTACAGAGAAAAAGACACAAACACGCAGATGATGGAAAAACACCCGAGATCAATAAAAATGGAAAAGTTTGATTTTTATTTTAAAGGTTTACAAATTTAAAAGACAAAAACATCAAAATCATCTGTAATTTTTTTAGAAAACTGACATTTATGAATGAAAGCAGTATCAGCATACAGATGGCATTAACATTGCATGCTAGGATATTATAAAATAAGGTCAGGTTTATTTATTAAGCGCTTTTCGTAGACAGGCAACAAAGGTTAAAATAAAGAAAACATTAAGTAATAAAACAGACAATATAAACAATGCAAATTGAAAACAATTCAAAAGTGTTGATTAACTGAAGGCCTGTTTAAACAAACACGTTTTAACTGCTTGTTAAAGGATTCCACAGAGTCAACAAACGTAGTTGTGGTGGGAAACTGTTCCACAGCCTTGGTGCCACAGACTGAAAGGCTCCGCCCCCTTTTCACCAACCAACAAACTGTGAGCCTGTGAGCAAAGACCACGAGCAGCAGTGTAACAATAATA